AAGGATTCAAAAGTGCAGCTGGAATACATATGGGAGATGCTGGAGAAAGCTGATCATTTCAATTTGTAACTCCATTGTGTGCTGGAAGAACTTCCTGCAGATGAGGCACATCCCGTCAGTGACTCAGGGAGACTCTCCGTCTGCTAACAGTCATGAATTTATTCTCTGAACCAGCTACCAGAAGTGACATATTTTATGTTAGTGTTACATGTGCAACAAGAAAGCCTGTGGGGGCATAATTTCTTTTTTCCTTCCAAAAATCTCTATACTATAGCATCTCAAAAGAAAAAAATAATAATTAAAAAAAATTTGATGAAAATAAGATTTCACATTTTTCATATTTTGATCAACACAACTTTTTATGCACAAACCCTTTTAAAATCAAAATCCGAACATATTTTCAGTTTACGTTCAGCATTTATAAATGAAACCTGGTATCATATTAATAGATTGTTATTGTGCCAGGTTCATCCCATTAGTTACTGGTTCACTTGGTTAATACTCAACTACAACACCTGAAAACTACACAGCCCAAGTTACTTAAGCATCTTCTTCGGGTTACTTTTTTCCTTCATGAATATGTTAAAAAGCCACTGTATCATATACAAATTATCTTTATGGTGGTTTGAAATTAGCATGCAGAAGATGGAATAGAGGGGACAAAGGGAAAACACTACAGAGAACACACACAAGTCCCTGTCTTCCCAAACCAACCTCATTGTTGGAATTCAGTTTTCAGCCACCTGCAAACTGGAGCTCCTAAAAGCTACTGGAGAGGTGCACTTGGAGCTGAAAAATTGAAAGTAGATGACAAAAAGGGCCCATAAAAATCAGAGACGTAAATTAATAATCAAATATACACACACAACAAGGAGACAGATGGCGAGCAATTTTCCCCAGTGTACTTACACTTGTTCTTCTAGCGCACATATTTGGGTCACTTGCTAGATTAAATCTTATGTGGCAGACCCAATAGAGGTACTGTCAAATGTGTAGGGGCTCGGCCTGTTTTTAAATTTTGCGTGTCTGACACCACAGCGTGAAAACATTTATCATGATTTCTTCAACGCAGTTTGGAATATTGCCCAGCAAATTTGAAACAAGGCTGATGGATATTTTCTACCATCAGCAAGGCTGCCTTATTCAGGCCAGCTAAATAAAATGCAGTACAAGCTAGAGAAAGTTGGTCTGCACTACCAAATCTCACGGAAGAGACCTACATGGACACAGACACGTCTGTACGCGTTTTCCAGAGCACAAGTTTTGTCCATGTGTCCCTGAGAAAATACATCACTTGAGGTTAAAGGTTCTTACTCTTCTTAAAATATGCCCTTCTTCTGACATTTAGGAGAAGAAAGGAACACCTCAATGGATGAATTGCTTTTGACACGTTCACTTTAACAATGCATGACCTCAGATACGCAGAACACTAAATCTTCCACACTCCAGCTATAACGTGACAGTGACCTGTCTGAGTTAGCACAGGTCACATGAAGGACTACAGCTTCAATGTAAGGCACCTGCAGGTCAAATTGCTTAGTGGGAGGGGGAGGGGGGCACAGGAGGCTTAAAAGGCAAGGAAAAATAATAATGCAGATGTGTAAGCCTAATTGCAGCAATGGGTTTCCCTCCTGTAGTACTGGGATATTAGCATGAAACATGAACTACATGTGCAGAGATTAGCCCCCCTTAATCTGCCAAAAATCTGGATTTAACACGGTGCAACAAGCAAGATCTTCAACACATCTGCAGGAATGGCAATTGCATTTCTCCCTACCCCATTACCATTTCAAAGATAATTTTGCTCAGCAATAAACAAACCTTTATTATCAAGCAAGGTGAGCTACTGTGGCATTACAACAACATCTAAATATTTCCACTACCTCTTCCCTCATTATCTCTTGTTTTGGGTTACTGCATGCTGCATTCAGCTTCAAATAAAACAAATTAAGTAAAAAGAGGGGAAAATACCTCTCTTTGCTCCTAGATGAACAAGGGGGTTCGTAGTTCACATGTAACTAGGAAATATCACAGCTGTCTGTGAAAATTATAGAAGCAGGGACCAGGATGGCAAAAGCTTGTGTTTTCTAGGTCTACACCTACATGGAAGGAAAAAAAAAAAAAAAAAGTAGTGCTTCTTTACACTGGCTCTTGAGTTTAAAGACTGTCTCTTTAATTCAAAGTATAAGTCAATTGATCAAAAATATCACGTTTGTACTGATTATGCATGTGCCATATATCTGCTTAGTCTGAAAGAAACAACAAGTTAGGCAGACTAACGACCAAAAGTAAGAACATGTACATTTGCTCACTCAACTTCCTCAGGCTTTAAATTCATTCAATTTCAGTTTAATTGGGTGAAGGGTGGGAAATAAAATATTGAATCCTTTGATATAGAGTCATAAAGCCCAGACTACAAGCAAGTTTGTTATATCACTGTCCATACAGTCTTTGGTTTGGTGCCATGTTGGTGCTAAAATATTAAGTTTCACCACTGGGAAATTGATTTTGCTGTAAGAAGTTTTATGATGCCACTTAATCTTGCCCAACCTACATAAAAAAATACAGAAAGCAATTAGACAGCCTTTATGTAGTAAGCTTGATCACTATATTAAAAAGAGAACAGTCTGATGTAATTTCAATATGATGGCAAAGGAAGCAGAAAAAGCCATGGCAACATGCTGCCCTCCTGAAACAAGACATTGCAGGTTCCCAGCTTAAATGCAAAATCTTTATTCACTTAAAGTGAATAGCCCTCATGGAGGGCTGTGTCCTGCAGCTCCAGCACCAACCTGCTTTTCTAGTGTTATGTTTCAAGCGGGCTCCTGCAGGGCAGCAAGACCCTGTGATTACAGTTGAAAGAATACTTCGGGTCTGAGAGCCTGCCTCTTTGAATAGATAAACCTTTCTAGTTCAACAATTACTAGCACGAAACAGCCATTCCTGCCTTGTCCCTTCCAGTGCTGCAATTGAAAAATATCCTAATTAGATGACCCCCACATACAGAAATGCCATTAACTGGCTTTCAGAGCGCTCTAGTGAATGCCTAAATCTTAGCTACAATGACAGTACTTTATTTAGCTACGAGGTAAACAGATAAACAAAACAGTATTTTAGAACACCTAAATAGCCTGGGATTAGTACTAGCAAAAACAGTGCGAGATTACCTTTTCCACCCTTTCCGAGATTACACTCAAATGCCGGTTTTTTCTAACTGCATTAAAGCACACTCAGGAAAGATCAAGAGTAACCTTGACCTCCACATCAATAGCACCAGGTTGTACTTCGAATTGCTTTCCATGCCTAACCAATTTGAACGGGCCTACAGGACAGGCTTATAAGCATGTCCTTAAACAACCCAGTTTTGCCCAAACATTGCAACATATGCTATATAGAGTTATGTAAATATTCCACAACTCCTGAAGTTCCTAACTATAACAAGGTGTTTAAAATAGTATCAGTGTGTCAAAGCATTCACTACTTTCTATTTATCCAACTCAGACCTCCCATTACAGAGTAACAGCTAATTTTTTCTTTTATTGTTTGTGAATGAAGTCTCAAAACTTTAAAATAGGTATAAGAAAAATCATTGTAGGAAATTGGAAGACTCACAGAAACCTAAAACCACTTAATTGCTCACAAGGCTTCATGTGTATGTAAATGACCTGAAGGGCTGAAGCCTGAATTGCCACATTCTGCAGCAAACTCTGTTTCCAGCCAGAGACCTAGACCAGGACTAACACTTGGCATTTGCTTCCAGTATAATAGATTTAATAGTAGCAAGCCTTGAAAATAGGGGGGAGTATTCTGGAAGCGGTGACAGATCCTTAAACACGGCAGGTGCACTGTAATATCGCTTAAGGGAGGAAAATTCCAAGTTTAGTAACTAATCTACTCCAGGACAGGCAACTTGTTTCCCAAGGCAAATGCCTAATTAAGGACACATCTGACCCTTTCGCATCGCATCAGCGCGCCGGGAAGTTCAGCTCATCCGACAAACATCTTCCTGCTCAGGCACATACCCAATCCCACCTCACCGTGCTTCCTCGCGTCCCCCCTCTCACATCAAAGGCTCCAAAGCATCGACCCTGCCGGACAGCTGCTTGGAGTTCGCGGGCATCGGGAACCTGCACCGCGCCGCAGGAGCCCTCCGCTTTACACACCCCACCCAGGGGCACTCAGTCACTCCCTCGCACACATAGACACCCCTTACGGGTGGCCAGCTCCCGGTTCCCGGCGGACTCCAGACGCGCTGCCGGGACGGGACGGGGCAGGGCGAGCCGCGCCGAGCCCCCGCTCGCCCGCCTGCACCCAGGGCCACAGAAGAGAGAGGCTGATGAAAAGCTGTCAAAGTCAATCCCTACTCACTTTTTGGATGGTTTAATTCCAATGGAGCATGAATCACTCCAGGACGGTTAATAAGTTTAGCCAGGCGTGCTGTTCTCCCTAATACATTATAATTATGCATCTGTTTTAAATGCTATCAGATTAAGTCACCGGAAAAGGCACAAAGCGGTATTTCCCCCGACTGCGAACAGCGCCTTCCCGCAGCTCTGGTGGGCAGGTACGGCCAGGAGAAGAGCAGGTGGGGAGCCCAGTCCCAGCCAGCCCCGCGCCGGTCCCGCCGGCGGGGCTGCGCTCCCGGGAGCAGCCGGGCAGCGGGGGCGACTTCCCGCGCGGGGCTCGGTCCCGGGGGAGCGCCGCGACGGGACGGGAGGCGGCCGCGCGCCCCGCTGGCACCGCGCATCAGGGATCAGCCCGGGACATGCCAAGTTGAGCGGCGGGTCCCTTCCCGGTGCTTGGGGCTGGAAAGGACCGAGTCCAAGCTGTCAAAGCCCCGGGAACGGCGGATGCCGCCGCGGCCACCCAGAGCCCAGGAGCCACCGGGACCCTCTGGCACCACCCCGGGCACCCCGAGGGGGGGCGGCCAAAACCCCGCTCCCGACAGGTGGGCAGCCCCCGCCCGCCCATCCACCCAGCCCCGCCGCTCCCCGCCCTACCTGTCATCGTAGCAGAAGTCGGCGCCCAGGGTGTTGAGGTACAGGGCGAGCCCCAGGGCGCTGCTCAACAACTCCGCGATCATGTCTCCGCCTGCTGCCGCCGCCGCTCTCGCACCGAGGCAGCCCCCTGCCCTGCCTGGCCTCCCGCGCCAGCCCCGCCGCGCCGCCCCCGCGCCCCCCGGCACCACGGGGCGCTGCTCCGCGCTCCGCCGGCCGCCGAAGCCTGACGGCGTCCCCACACTCCGCCGCCCCTACCCCATGGCAGCGGGGCGAGCGGCGGGGAGAGCGCGGATGGGCTGGGCTGAGCGGAGCGGAGCACGTCTCCAGCTCCCGCCCTCCTCCCGCGGCGCCACGGCGCTGCCGCGGCTCCGGCTCCGGCCCGCACCCCTCTCGCTGCCGAGCCGGGCGCCGCCGCCGAGGCTCTGAGAGCGCCCGCGTGGGGCGCCCCGGGCTCCCACCGCGCCTGCGTGCGGGCCCGCCCCGCGCCCGCCCCTCCGCACCCCGCCCCGCGGCCCCCGCGCCCGGGCCGTGCTGAGGCGGCCCCGCGGCAGCGCCCGTATCGGGTCCGGCGGGGCGGGCGGGGACGGGCGCGGGGCTGGGTGTCCCTCGCTGCCGACGGTAATCGCCGAGCACTACCTTCTTCGAGGGGCTGTGTTCTTTCCCCTTTTCTCCTTTCAACGTTTTCCTTTTTCTGTTTTCTTTATGACTTCAGTCGTTTTTCTCTCTTTTCAGTTGCTTTTTCTTTATTGTAATTTTTCTTTCTTCTTACTTCCTTTTCCTTTCTTTTCCCTTTTCCTCTGTTCTTCTTTTCTCTTCTTCCATTTCCTGTCTTTCTTTTCCTTGTTTTCCTGTTCCCCTCTTTCCCCCTTTTCTTCTTTTTACTTAGCCCCCAAAAATAGGTCAGATTAGTAGGAAAGAGAGGGCCCTTACCACTGTGGATGGGATGCCAGAGCAGGGGATTCCACGTTCCCAGCTTGTCCACAGCCTGGTATTTCCCTCTCTACTGGTGTGAACATCCACAGGGAGCCCTTAGCTGAGCTTCCAGTTAAGCAAAACCGAAGGAAAACCGCTGATACTTGGCAGACAGGGGCTGGAAACAAAGGCACCCCAAGGCAAAGGAACACTGCAAGCTGGGGCTCCCTGAGGACAGCCCCACACTGGGGTGCTGCCTGTGCGAGGCGAGGTGGGCATAGCTTGAGCTGCACACTGCAAGTGGGACAGGTAAATAGACTGTGAAGGAAACCCATCTGGGGGAAATAATGCACTGAAAATGTCTTTTGGAATTCATGGGATATAGAGGCATGAAGTTATGGAATGGATTTGGGTCCATCAAGCTGATTACTTCTTTTTATAGAGAGTTTTTAAAATGGTGCCTCTTTTCGCTGCTAGCCAACCCTTTTGTGTAACTATTTCCTCATGATTTCCATCAAGTTGCACATCACGCTGTCTCTGAAGAATGGGAGTCTCTTTATCAAGCTGTGTCTAATAAATTGAGGACCTTTAAACAAGTTTTTTTTCTCCTCTATGTGATTATTTAATGCTGTTCTTTGCAACCTCAAAATACACGAAGTGCATTAAGACCTTTTTCAAGCAATGCTTGAAGTGCTCCTGTAAAGTCTGCCCCAAGTGTCACAAACATCTCAGCTGCTTCTACTTAGATTCAGGGAGTGTGTTATCACCATCAGTGACAGTAATTGCAGACATGGGGGGAGGGTGCATTTTGTTGAGAATATTAAAGCTTTGAGGGACCTTATTGAACCCATTAGCAGATCACATTGATCTGGCATTAAACTTTTCAGCCTGGAGCACAGAACATAGTAACCTAGGTTTTAAAGAGTTGGTACTCTTTGTCAGAAGACCTGTGATTCTTCCTTTAAAATGCCAATTCTCAATGTGATTATGGACCTACTGCTAAGATCCCAGTCATCATGACTTAGTCCTTCTTGCTGCAGTGAAATTGCTGAGCTTACACACTAGATTTGCACAGCTCTTTCTCTGGAACATCCTAATAAACTCTGCATAAAAAGCAGTGTAATTGCTGCTGAGTCACCATGGCAAAAGTCTTTTGTTATCCATCAAAAGCATATGTATTTTTTCTTCAAAGAGGCAGAACTATTGACTGGGGTAGATGAGGGCTAGCAGAAAAGCTTTAGAAACAAAACAAATCTTCCAGGAAAAAAACGTTTAACAAAGCCTGACACTGTCTCATAAAAGCAAATGTCAAGAAAGGGTAGGATGAAATATATAGACTGTGTAGAAAGCACCTGCTCCCCAGGACATCCCAAGTGCTTCAGGGTAGCTGGAGATAGTATTAGGGGTATCCGAGTGGATTTAGCTACACTGACAAGAATCCATAAAGTCTTTCTTGCAGAGATGTTTCTCTGTATAAACAAAGGGTAAGTTTCCTCCCAATGGCAAGAGCTTTCTCTGATGGAGATAATCTGCTTTATAGAAAAATAGATGGCAACGTATGCATGCACTACCCTACCTGTCAGCTCTGGGACTCTCCAAGTCAGGCCAAGCTGGGGGCAGCAGCAAGAAAGAGCCAGTGCAGAAAGCTGGAGACAAGTTCAACATAAAAATTATTGTCCTTGTTAAGCAAACAACACTGCAGAAGAAAACAAGAGGGTAGAAATCAAATCATGATAGAACAATTCCTTCTTTTCCTTGGTTAGTTAAAAGTATTAAATGCATGGAGTTATGAAAGACATTATAATTTACTACAGCATCCAGAGATACAATATAACATTCTGATTCATAGCAGATTTACAGTGTGATGTACAGTAATCACAAGGTGTCAGAAGAGATAATTTAGAAGTCCAGATCTGTCACTAAGCAGACATTTTGAAAATACCCTTCACTTCCAGAAAGTCACACATTCTGGTATCAGGGAAAAGGGAAGAGGTGTAGGGTTGTAACCGCGCATAATAATAACAACAATAACTGTAAAGATAACTAGAGTTATGCAGTCTAACAGCTGATCTATTGTGTATAGCTTAGTAGACAAATTCACCTTATTTTGCTTTATTGCAAATATGGCAATATGGCAATCAAAATGATCTGTTTTAATACCAGTTGGGAAATTTCTTCATTAAAGACATTATAGACTCTGAGTCACTGTACTACAATATACTTCACCTAAACTGTACCTGAAAGATTAAGTTGTGGCACAGCATGTAGAAATACTTGTCTGTCACAGTGACAGATTTGGTTAACCGGTCATTGACTATGAGACTTAAAATGTCAGGGTAATGCATGTGGTACAGATCCCTCAACAGATTAGATTAGACACTTCTATTTCTATACACTGGGATCATTTGCTGGAGCTTGTAGAAAATATTTGTGTCAGATTCCTTAAAGCATCTGAGAAGAGAAAGGCTAACCCCTTAAAAGCTGTTGGGGTTTTTGGATATTAAGTGTTACTATAGGAATAATCAAGTGGGATTTTTAATTTTTTTATGCTCAGATACCATCAAGAAAGTGTTATAACATATTGTGCCTACTTTTGAACAACCTAAATTACACCCAAAGGTGTGGCTTAATGAACCTCAGAAATGTAAACTTTGGTGCATTTCAAAACACCCATGCAGTTGTTATTCTTAGCAGTCGAGGATAAGCTGGTGTTATGTAAGGAAGGAAAAAGTGACCTTAACTTTATCAGAAGTGAAGAAAGTGGAGTAGAGGAGAATGTTTAACCTACTGCTGCTTTCACAATTAATAACTGATTCATAGAGGTAAAGCTGTCTGATTTTGTGGAGTAGGATCCAAGACGTTGTTTCCCCGTCATGCTAACAAGATCATATTAATCTTCAAAGAGACCAGTATTTCTGCTTCCTCTAAGAAATTACTTTTTTTAATTATTATTTTGCTAGTGTTATGATAATAATATCAGCAATGACAGCCAAAGTAAATATAAGTTGCAACTGCAAAACTGTAAAATCTTATGAAAATCTGCTTGAAATAGGACAGTAAAAACTAAACACATGCAGAAAAAAAAAACAAGAACATGTAGGACTTCCGTCAGTACTTGAAAGAGGATTTAACTGAACACATTTCCTAAGGACATACATTTCCAGGAGGCACCAGTTCCTACTTTAGATCAGTCAGTGGAGCTAGAGTATTGCTGCAGAACTGGACAAAGAGAGAGAGAGAGAGAAAACCAGTGCATTTTTAGTTTGACCTAATCTAGTTATGCAGACTCTCTCTGGGAGGAAAGAAAAGATGGATAAAGGTAAGTTTTTTGTATGGACAAAACATGCAAGAGCATTTGTGTGACTCACAGGTGAGCATATCTCAATGGCAGAGAAAAGGGCAGTTTTTAGTCTCTTCTGAATTTTCAAGGATGATTTTCTTAATAATACTCCATTCTAGACTAATCCTAATCTGCTTTACATATTTATCTCCCTTGTCCTTTGAGATAGCTCAAAGAGAGATCAAAAAGAGTTTTTAATCCTTCTTGTTCAGACTAAGTTGACAGTGTAAACTTACTCATTGCAAATATGTCTATTTGTCATTTCCCAGAACATGAACCTCCTCACTGTTTTTTCATACTTCATAAAAATAGCAATATACCAGTTTTCTTTTTTTGTTGTTGTTGTCCTGTTTATCAAAACAGCTCAAAGGAATACAGATTCTTAAAAGGTGGCTCTGGAAGCAAATTAGAATTAACCTCATTGTACACAAGGGGAAATTGAGGCAGCTGGCATTTATATCAGTTTATCCAGATCACATGGGGAACTCTATAGCAGAAGAGGAATCTATCTGAGATCCCAGCCATGATTCCAAGTCATTCATCTGCTTTCATCATGAGATCATCCTTCCATTCACAGTAATTGATATTTCCTTAGACAAAACACAATGGAATTATCTCAGGGATTAATTTGGCCTAAGATCTTGATTCTGAGGAAAGTCCTATTTGACAGATGGATCCCTGCAGCATAACCAAGAGGTCTGTGGTGCACAGCCTGGATTTTGTGCAGGTGGAGGATAGGGAGTATGAGTGGTATATCATATCCTGCTTCTCATCATTTCTTGGCAGCTATATTGCCCAGTAGATGGAAAAGCTTCATCAACAGCTGAAAGTCTGTTCCTTGTCATCTTCCTTCCCACAGAAAGAAGCGAGTCATTGCA